GGTGGCTCAGTCAGTTAAGCGTCCGATTCTTGATTTCAGCTCAGCTCACGATCTCACAGTTGTGTAAGATTGTTGTTTGTTTGAGGGGTCAGCTTGCAGTTTGGGTCATATATATATAAAAAAAAAAGACTGCTTCTGGGACTGAAACTTTTGAAATTTTGCTATATAGAGAGAGATTTTATTTGGCTTAAGCTCCATTTCTACTTAAAATAGCCCTGTAGTAGCCGTAGAGAAGGTAAACTTTTAATGTTTGACATTTGTGTGGAGCATATAGTTTGTTTTCAAAAAGACATTGGCTTTTAAAATATTCACTAGTTTCACCTCTAGGTTTTAGCTATTTGTGGCTCAGCTGCAGTTAAGTGTGATCTTTTCACTTCTCCAAACTGAAGTCTGCTGACCTTATACTCAGGGGCTCTGTCCTGAATTGGAGGTAGTTCTAGAAGATGCTACAAGGGCAAAAGCGGACTGTTTGGGCAAAAGAGAAGGAAAGGTCTCTACAGAGAGAGCTTCTTACCTCTTTTCTCTAGGAAGATTTAATTTTTGGAATTTTATTACAGTGGCTGAAAAGACAATCCACTAAGTACAAGGCAGACAAAACCTATCCTACAACTGTGGCTGAGAGACCCAAGAATATCAAGAAAAACAGATACAAGGATATCTTGCCCTGTAAGTTTTTGTTTCTCCCTATAAATTTGTACCTTCTCCCAAATTCAGTCAAATTTTTACCCATTGCCTGCTGTTCCCAATCCTGGTACAGTGCTTTGACAAATGAGTTTGTACTATATACAACCACAAAAGAACATTTACTCACTCACTCACTCACTCACTCATCAAACACTTTTGCACAGCCACTATTCACAGTGCTAGTTTCTGACTTACGGTAAGTCCTCTGACTAAGTCCTTTTAGTTCTAATATGTCCATCATTTGTATTATAGATGATCATAGCTTAGTAGAGCTGTCTCTGATAACCTCGGATGAAGATTCCAACTACATCAATGCCAACTTCATTAAGGTACACCCCATATTCTATAGTTTTCTAGGTACCTTAAAAGGGGTCGGGATACTAGACCATATTTCTTTAGGTACCTAAGAAAGAGGTGGAGGGGATTCTAAACAAGAAGAAAAGGATATTATCTGTAGTCATCCCATATAATTTCTGTTCCCCTTTAGGGAGTTTATGGACCCAAAGCTTATATAGCCACCCAGGGACCTTTGTCTACAACTCTCCTGGACTTCTGGAGGATGATTTGGGAATACAGTGTCCTGGTAAGGGCAGAAATGCTTTTGTTACTATATTCTCTAGTTTTTAGAGATGGAGGGAGGAGGGTTATCAGGGTATGTGACTGAGGTTTCCTTTATATTAAAATCAGTGCCTTTTTGGGTCAGTCGCTAGAATTTCAGTGTTCAGGCACATTTTTGTCAAAATCACAAAGTCACCTTTACTCAAGGAAATGAAAGTTCTCATCTTGACAGGCTCATTTGTTAACAAGAATTTACCGATTTGAATAGAGAAAAGGGAAGTAAGGACAGAAAGAAGGGTAGGAGCAATATTTTAAAATTTATCAAGATTTCTGTTTTCTTTTTTGTTCAATAACAAGAAAAAAAAAACCAGAAAAAACAAGGACTCTGGGACCCGTGTGTTAACTGCTTTTTCTAACTGTATCAATGCTCAGGTTTCTATTTATTTCATCCCCTCAGATCATTGTTATGGCGTGCATGGAGTTTGAGATGGGGAAGGTGAGTTAAAGGAAAGAGAAGGGGGAAACTTGGTTGCAGAACTTGCCTTAAGTATTCCTACATAAAAATTATTCTGGGATGCCTCTGTGGCTCAGTCAGTTAAGTGTCCGACTTCGGCTCAGGTCATGATCTCACGGTCCGTGAGTTTGAGCCCTGAGTCAGGCTCTGTGCTGACAGCTCAGAGCCTGGAACCTGCTTCAGATTCTGTGTCTCCCTCTCTCTCCGCCCCTCCCCCACTTGCGCTCTGTCTCTCTCTCTCAAAAATAAATAAACATTAAAAAAAATTAATCTCATCTTGCTAGCTTTCAGTTTGGGAATGCCTAATGACTCTCAAGTATTTTTTATTTACCTCTAAGAACTCCTTTTGTCCATTTGCCCAGGCTCTATATTTTTAAGTAAAAAGAAGGTATGCTTTTAAAGTAACAATTCATCTTCCCATTTTTATTAATCAAGCATCTTAAATGTCAGTCAGCACTTCTAACCCTGTGCTGTCCAACAACATGACATCCACTAGCTGCATGTGGCTATCAAGCAGTTGAAACATAGCTAACGTACCCAAGGAACTATTTAATTTAATTTAACTTTATTTTATTATTTTAATGAGTTTAAATTTAAAAACTCAGTTTTCCAATTCAGTGATTGGAGAACTTTAAGCATGATTTGAACAACTTAGGTACGTGAATCTTTTTCACCTATACATTTTATGAACTCTAAATGGAAATTAAATGTTCTGATGAAAATTTAGTGGATTAATTGAGATGTACTGTAAATATAAAATGCACACCAGGGTCTGAAGACTGAGATAAGAAATGTCAAATATCTAATATCTGTTTTATCCGGATTACATGTGTTTTGATCGGGCTAAGATATATTATTAAAATCAATTTCATTTTTGACTTTTGAACGTGGCTATTAGAAAACTTAAAATTGAGTGTGTAGCTTACATCTTGTTTCCATTGGAGAGCACCTATTTTACCTACTGTTGACATTCACAGTTCAGTTAAAACCAAGGAATTTGGGGTTTCACTTCACTCGTGCCGCTTTGTTTTAGTAGAGGTGATTTCTGTTAATCCTTTCGAAATAGAGCAGTCCCCTCCTTATTCGCGTGGGATATGCTCCAAGACCCCCAGTGAATGCCTGACACCAATAACAGTAACGAACTGTACACGCACCATATTTTTTCCTATACGTACATACCTATGGTGAAGTTTAACTTGTCAACTAGGCATGTTAGGAGGTTAACAACAATAATAAAATAGGACAATTGAAGCAATATACTATAAGTTGTGTGAATGTGGTCTCTTTCTTTCTCAAAATATCTTATTGTACTGTACTCACCCTTCTTCTGATGATGATGTGAGATGATCAGATGCTGACACAAAGGAAATGACGTAGGTGTTTGTGATGTAGGGTTAGGCTACTACAATACTTGGTATTGCCAACAATACATCCCAGACGGTAGGTACCCGAAAGGCTGAAACTGGTAACTGTAACCATGGAAAGCAAAGCTGTGAACGAGGAGGGGGACTACTGTGCTGAAAATGCCAGATCCCTATTTCTACTTTTTCAGACTTCTATGAAGTTTGTAATTTATATATCCTTTAGTGTTTTCCCTGTCCTTGGAGATTCCAGACCACCATGATGTTGGGGGCGAAGCCCAAGGGGGTAGGACATTGCTAACGTAAGGTGAAGGACACAGAACCTGTGTCTCCCTCATTGAGAGTGGGTTTTGTTACCTAGGAGAGACTAGAATATATGGAGGGAAATCATTACATTCTGTTTTGTGTAACAGAAAAAGTGTGAGCGCTACTGGACTGAGCCAGGAGAGCTACAATTGCAAGTTGGCCCTTTCTCCATATCCTGTGTAAGTATGATGGCTGCTTCCATTGCGGCTGAGCAAATGCTCCAGGATCTACTTTATAGAGACTAGTTTTTGAATATTAGTCTTTGAAGTAACTACTATTTTAATTTACTTCTTAGGAAGCTGAAAATAGAAAATCTGATTACATAATCAGGACTCTAAAAGCCAAGTTCAATAGTGTAAGTATAGAACAGGAGTGGTAAACTCAAGAGCCTACAGAGACAGAGGTAAAAACATGTATGTGGGGCGCTTGGGGTGGCTCAGTGGGTTAAGCATCTGACTTTGCCTCAGGTCATGATCTCACAGTTGGTGTATTCAAGCCCCAAATGGGTCTCTGTGCTGACAGCTCAGAGCCTGGAGCCTGCTTTGGATTCTGTGTCTCCCTCTCTCTCTGCCCTTCCCCTGCTCATGCTCTGTCTCTCTCTATCTCTCAAAAATATATAATCACTAAAAAAAATAATAAATAAATTAAAAAAAACATATGAGGGGTGCCTGGGTGGCTTAGTCGGTTGAGCATCCGACTTCGGCCAGGGTCATGATCTCATGGTTCATGGGTTCAAGGCCCACTTCGGGTTCTGTGCTGACAGCTCGGAGCCTGGAGCCTGCTTTGGATTCTGTGTCTCCCTCTCTTTCTGCCCCTCTCCTGCTCATGTTCTGTCTGTCTCTCTCAAAAATAAAATAAACATCTAAATAAATAAATAAATAAATAAATAAATAAATAAATAAAAACATACGTATGTGTCTCAGGCTGGGCATAAGACAATGGGGTGTAGTTGGGCCTTTGATGTATATGCAAAAGAGACCTTTGGTGTAATCTCTGCTCCCCAATCTATTACACACGATGGCACACATATGAAATGATAATATCTGTAGGATGAATAGAGGCTGTGCAGTGAGTAGAGACTGGGAATTGAGAGCTCACGCTGCCCACTCTCTCTAAGGCAAAGGGGTTTAATATACCAGCATGCCTGTGACCCACCTGAAATACACCAGTTGTAATATCTATCTCCTCTTGTGTGTGAGTGGGGCAGATAGGGACAGACCAATAGTCAGTGACCTGAAATCACTTTTAATTGTTCTCAGAAGGCATGTGGGCACCAGAGGCCTATAGGAAAGGAAGCAGCATAAATTGCCAACAGGACAGAGATGCTACTTAGGAGGTCAGAGTAATCTTGTGCTAGAATGAGGTGGGGTCCTAACGCTGAACCCTCCTTTTATTCTGGCTATTTTTTTTTATAGGAAACTCGAACTCTCTACCAGTTTCATTACAGGAATTGGCCAGACCATGATGTGCCTTCATCCATAGACCCTATTCTTGAGCTCATCTGGGATATGCGTTCTTACCAAGAGGATGACCATGTTCCCGTGTGCATTCATTGCAGGTATGATGCTGTTCTTTGAACTTTCTACCCAAAACCAACCACATGTCGTAGCCTGGCCAGGACTCCTGCTGAAACTGAAGGAAGACTGACTTTGTTGGAATGTAAGCTGGTACAGGCATGTAGCATATAGGCTCTTGATACTAGTCTCACTTTCTCCAGTTGATTAGAAAGGAATGAAGCTGAGACATGAAAGTGATAGGAAGAGAAAGGTCGGTAGCAGAAACAGACCATAATACAGTCAACCTGAGCATTAAAGTAGTATTTTCTGACAAGTTACTCGAGAACAGTGCCGCTCCAGACACCCTTGCGGGTGAGAAGTGGCCGAGGATCTGTCCCGAGGCTCAGTGTGTGCATGTGGCAACCAAGAGACGTGCTCTGGGAAATGGGGGGTTTAGAACGTTTTGTTGCCTCTCGGTTACTTCTTCCTCAATCTGCTGGTGAAATTTCCCAGCTACTGTCAACAATGCAGTCTCTGCAACTGTATGTGCCACTGTGATCTTTCCTTTCAGTGCCGGTTGTGGAAGGACTGGTGTTATCTGCGCTATCGATTATACCTGGATGTTGCTAAAAGACGGGGTGAGTTTCTCTCCGCAGGCGCTTCCTGTTTGCCTACCCTGTTACATGCAGACTTAGGAATTGTTTGGTTCTTCCAAACACCTATTTCCATGACTCCTATTTTCTAGAATATTCACTTGTAGACTCACTTTGTCAGATGATTAAATCAGTCCCTAAGTTGGTGGTCCTCGAAGTGTCCCAGAGAAGCAGCATCAGCATCACCTGAGAACTTGTTAGAAATGCAAAATCTTGGGTCCTACCTTGGGAGAACGGAAGCAGAAACTGGAGGTGGGGGCCCAGCAAGCTCTCCAGGTGCTTCTGATGCTTCTGAAGTGTTTGAGAATCACAGCCCCAAATTACACAGGTACCCTTCCTTTATCCAAATGGCTGTAATGGATGGACTCAATCTACCCCAATCAAGCCTTGTGTTCCAATCTATAAATCATTTAAAAAATTTTTTTTAAATGTTTTGTTTATTTTTGAAAGAGAGAGAGAGAACACGTGGAGGAGGGGCAGAGAGAGGGAGACACAGAATCCTAAGCAGGCTTCAGGCCCTGTCAGCACAGAGCCCGACACGGGGCTCGAACTCACAAACTGTGAGATCATGACCTGAGCTGAAGTCAGTGCCTAATGGACTGAGCCACCTAGGTGCCCCTAGAAATCATTTTCTTAAAGTCTAATAATAGGAAGTGAGAAGTGTGAAATATGGGCTTTAAACCTATCTGCCAACTTCTTTTATTTCATAAAATTCTCATATTTGCTCACCTACCCAGGCTCCACCTTCATTATATGTTTAACTTCAGACATCTGGTCACCCCATGTGAAATCATTCTCAAGAGTTTCTTCAGTCTTTTCTGGGGAAAACACCAGGCTCTAAATCATGACACAAGTGAAGAGAAATCTCATTCATTTTAAAGACGCATTCTTTTTCTGATATGATCTTGTGTTAGGACAACAGATGCCATGGGGGTAACAAGACCGTGAGAAATAATTTATTAGCAAAGCTAGGAACAAAGGAATAAGATATTGTTTCTCTTTATTTGATAGATCATTCCTGAGAACTTCAGTATTTTTAGTTTGATCCAGGAAATGCGAACACAAAGGCCTTCATTTGTTCAAACTCAGGTATGCAACTATTGTGAATGGATGGTAACATGTGTCTGGGTCTTCCTACCTCTCTCGGTTTCATAGTAAGGCATCCCCAAATAGCTGATTTTTAGCTATAACACCAATTTACTACTAAGTGCATGAGTCCATTTGCATTTCCTCAAACTCTGAATATATCAATATTTTTCCTACATCCCTGGCTTGGGTCACATTCCTCTCATTCCTTGTATTCTACTGTCTGTGCAAAAAATATGAAGAAACTCAGTAACTTTATGTTTCTTACAAGGGATGTTGAAAAAATTCAACAAGCTCTTTGATGTACTCAAGATATAATACCTGGGTCAGGTTAACTTGCTGGTTTGTAGTAGTGATTCATTTCTGAAACCAGAGAAAATCAGAGACTTGTAATTTCTACTTCAGGAAGTGGTAACAGAATCTGGGGAATGCATTTTATATACTCATTTTTTTATTTAATTAAAAATAAAAATAAAATCAACCATAATCCTATCACCTAGAGGTAGCCACGATTATTATTGTTCTATAGTCTCTCCTGATCCTTATTGTGTGCAAACTTAAAAAACATAATTACAATCATACTATACATATGATTATATATATGTATCACAAGATACATGTATTATATATACGGATCACATATATACGGATCACATATATACGATCACAATATTATATGCATCACAATACATTATATGTATATATATGTATGTATGTACATATGTATATATGTATCACCATATTTTAATCCACCCCAAATTACTCATGCCCCTTCATTCCATTCAGATGCTCTTCCTCGGTTTTGTCCTCTCCTCCCCACTTAAGCTCCGCCTCCTCGATGAAACATTCCCAGCACAGATCTCTCACTCTCTACGATGTTAATTTCACCCAGATTTCCACGCCAATCGTTTTACCCACATTTCTAAATAAATGGTCTCCATCTTTAAGATGGAGTTTGGCATTCCTCATTCCTTATTCACCAAGTGTTTACTGATATTTATTAAGCAACAGACACTTTCACACAATTTGTTACAACTAATTTTTGCTGCTTAAGTAGCAAGACCTTCAAGTGTTTAAAGCACTTACAAAGTGAACTTGCACGTAGATTTGGAGGTAAAATAATTGACAGCGACAGTTTAGATATTTTCATCTAGCATTTGTGAATGGGAGGGAAAAAATGAAGAGCTATTATAATATAAGCCTTCTGTTTGGCCCACACAGGTTTTCCACTAATAGCTAGTGGAAAAAAACTTTTTTTTTCATGTGTTGACTGTAGGTGTTTCTATATTCAGCTTGTAAGGGAAAAAGTTTCTGTGAAATGTAAGCATTGGCTGGTTTAGTACTACCAGACTTCAAAGAAGGCTGATCCCTGTAAATGTATAAAGATTCCAGGAGGTTGCATCCTAGTTGTCTAATATCACACTGTGAAACTGCATCAAGAAATACAACCATACCCCATTTCAGAGAAAGTTCATTTCAGGCCTACTTGTAAGAGTTGGAAGACAGCCGAAACGATTTTAAGTTAGCCTTCCCATGCTGGCACTATCAGCAACTAGCTGAACAAATACCTTACCAGTTGTAGCTGCTTTTTCTGACACCACGCTAACCAGGAAATAACCACTGTAACCAGCTGGGTGCTTCCTGTCTGATTTTTCTCTCTTCTTAAAAAAAATAGAAGAGTGTACCAATGGATGTGTTGGGTGATAGACTCTATTGTTCTCCTGCTAAAATTGTAATTGGCAAAGGTTGTGCTTTATTTGTATGGAGTTGTGTAAAGTGTCAGGGGAAACCCTGTTTAGGCTCTTTCAGATGAAAAGTAGATACAAAATCAAGTGCTTGATCAAGTATGGTGGCAGAAAACTCCCCACAAATCTTGTAATTGTGGTGGTCTCATTTTCTATGGTGAAATCCTTTTACAAGCACAAATTTCCAAACCCTTCAGTGCTCTACGTCGCTTCAGCATCTCTGCTAGAACGTTTCAGCAGCTTGATCCAAGTGCACTAAACTAAGAGTCAGAAGATTCAAGTTCTAATTCAAATCTGGACCTTACTTCTGAATGACCTTGCACAGTGTGAACAGGAATAACAGGCTACCTACTTTACAGATCAATTGTGAGGGTCAAGTTTGAGAATACATATTGAAGCCATCTATCTACCCATCAACCACAATTCTATCTAACTTTTTCTGGAAAAGATGAAGGTAACTGACAAAAAAAAAATGCATCCAGGATCCAATACAACTTTTAAAATGTAAGCAAGGAAAATAGAACTGCAGGGATGATGGTGGAAAGAAAGATAAGTGAGAAGGTGGAGTAGAACATAAAACATGCTGGAAGGCCCTTCCTTGTATATTTAGAGGTAGACGATCAAATATTTAGCTGCATTTAGCAGCCTAAAAGCGCTTTGCAATCCGAAATGGGCCACACAAACATAAGGGCACTACAATTAAACTACTGTTGATGATCTTCAGATCTGCTACACTAAGATTTGACTGATATGCATACTCCCAAACTCTGGTTCTGTATTTCACCAAGTTTTTTGTTTGTTTTCCCCTGTTCCGGTTTGTGATGCTCTGCAGGAACAGTATGAACTGGTCTACAAGGCTGTATTAGAACTATTTAAGAGACAGATGGATGTCATCAGGGGTAAAAAGTCAGGAACAGAGGTAAACATTAAACTTGATATTTTGTCTCTCTTTCTTTTTCATATTTGATTTTGGTCAAGGGATCTCAGATCAGTTGTCGAACTTACCTAATGATCCATTGTCACAAGTAAATGGGACATGGGGTGCGTGGGGCTACGCTGCCGATCTCCTGTGGAGAAGGACAAATTAATTGAAGTACTCCAATGTAGAAAATGAATCTCTTGGTTCACCTATGGTATACGATTTTCAGCGAAATTTAGAAACCATAGGAGTGAGTGACAGGGCAAGTGTATATTCTCTTTCCACGTAAATAGCTGTGTCGCCAGTTAAAAGTGAGAGTGACAACCCTAAAGTGAATTCAGAGTTGAGTACTGATGTGAATTTTCAGGTTCTTCTAGCTGCGTTTTGATTGCGTATGCCTCATCAAATTTTGTCAATATTTTAGAGCATGTAGAGGATTTTCAACTGAAGGTCTTAGGTATAAAAACAATTATGATTTAACCAAATTCCAGTTAAGAAATATTGAGCATTCTAGGATATGCTATTTTGATCTCATCATGAAAACTGAGAAGTCAAGTACTTGTTCTATATAGTCACAAAGTATTAGGTTCTGAACAAACTTTAGGAAGACAAAATTACTGTTTTACCTTACAAGGGTATATTTAGTTACATATACATATTAACTTAATTTTTAATATTAAAATTTTTTTTCAACATTTATTTATTTTTGAGAGAGAGAGAGAGAGAGCACATGTACACACAAGTGGGGGAGGGGCACAGAGAGAAGGAGACACAGAATCTGAAGCCAGCTCCAGGCTCTGAGCTGTTTGCATACAGCCTGATGTGGGGCTCAAACCCACGAACCGTGAGATCATGTCTTGAGCCAAAGTTGGAAGCTTAACCGATTGAACCACCCAGACACCCCTGGATTCTTAATCTGAAAATATTCACTGAGGACCTACTGTTATCACAGTATTAAGAATACAAAGTATGTAAGACATGATTCTGATGGTAACTCCTGTCAGTTGAACGCTGAATCATGGGGAAAGGAAAGAAAGCCAGAAAAACTGTTGAGGCTTGAAATGGACTAAGTAATCCTATTGTTAGTGTCAACTTCAAGGAAAAACAATGTGGTAGAAGGACATGGAAATAAGAATATAGTTTTGTTAGAAATTGCTACTTGTATCCTGTTTATGCCTACTTCATTGGCTAGTATTCCCAGGTTAAATGATAGAGGCGATTATGGACAACCGAATTTTAATGGAAAAGATTCTCATGTTTCACTATAAAGTGTGATGCTGACTTGGAGACATTTGTTTGTTTGTTTATACCTCTTAATCTATTTCACCCTTTCTGCCACAAGCCTCCCTTCTGGCAACCACCAGTTTCTTCTCTATAGTTAAGAGTCTGTTTTTTGCTTGTTTATTTTGCTTTTTAGATTCCCCATATCAGTGAAAGCATAAGGTATTTGTCTTTCTCTGTGTGACTTATTTCACTTAGCATAATACTCTCTAGATCTGTCCATGTTGTTGC